CTGACTGCTTGACTCTCAATTTCTGCATCTCCACTTCAAATTCCAAAGAAAGAGAATCGGAGGAACCTAATTGAGTTACCCTTACCCTTACCAGGGAAGTTCTAAGCCAGATCTCCCTCCCTATAGGCTACCAGCCAGCCTATGAATTGGCTGTTCTTAGGTCAGGTGCTTTCCTCTGGTCCAATCAGGTGAGCTGGAAGAGGTCACATGATAACAGAACAATGCCACGTCTGATCTCTCATCAGAGGCCATGGACAAGGGCAGCCATTCCGAATGTATAGTGTTAGAAAAGTATGGATGGTATCAAGGTTCAATGGACAGGCTGGGTTCAAATTTAGCTCTTCTGTTCATTACCTCTGACCTTGGGCAAGTTATTTCAACTTTCATCTTTTAAAGGGAGTAATAATAATACTTGTCTCACTGGGATTAGCAGGGAGCCTGTTTGCAGCAAGACTCTGCAAACACAGACTCTGCAACACAGACTCATAGCAACATTTTGATTGACTGAATGAATGATTGATTGCATTATATTGTTAGCCTGTTCAAAATACTAAGGAAGTTGTCCACAGAGGGAAAAAATTACACCACAAAGCAAGAGAGCTTATGTTCTTTCCCCCTTTCAGTCACTTGCTAATTATAGTTCCTCAATCTTCACATCTGAGGATATAACTATTGTACCTGACTGAAGACAGAAGGAGTAGACCAGATGGTCTCACCCAGATCCATCAAATTCTAGTCAAAGATTATCCTATTTTAATTAAGCCCATTTCTTCCTGTTTGATGTCTCAAGGGCAGAGAACAACTATGTAGGTTCTGCCAATTTAAAAGCCACCATTCCTGCTATAACCATATCAAACCACTCCTTCACTGGTCATCCTAAGAAGGTCAATAGAAGCATCCTAACAGCCTGCTGCCATGTCCTGCTCACAGGTCACCACTACAAGTCTGATACCTGTCAAATGTCTGCCCATATCCACAGAGATGCTCCCAGTATACCTTGTTTCTGCTTCAAGACAATGACCGTGGCTATAGCCAACTGGCCTAGGAATAGACACCCGACCCGATCTGGGCCATTTTGGCTCCTTCTCTTGAGAATTGTGCCCAAGAGAGTCTGTCTCAGCACAAACTGCAACTGTAACACAAACAGTCATGAGCTAGGGGGCTGTCAGGAGCTGCCGTGGGAACTAAAGAGCAGAAAGGCCAGTCTACAGAGAGAGAAGACAGTGAAATCTATATCCAAGACAACTGGATGCAAGAGACCAGAGAATGGGCCTCCCCGTTCACACTTCCAGGCCCTCCCCTCTCTGAGGCATGACAAATGCGGCAGAGTGTATTTTCCAGAATGGTTACAATATTTCCCATCCCACATGCCCTTCCAGAACCTTCCACTCCATCAAGAGATAATCTGTATCCCTTCCCCTTGAAATCCCGTGAGCCTTTGTGACTTCCCTTACTACTAGAATGTGGCAGGAGTGACACTGTGATTTCTGAGGCTAGATCACAGAGCTCTATTTTTTGGGCCACTCAGCCTGGGAACCCAGCCACCATGCTCTATGGACACATGGCACATGGAGGGTCCATGTAGAGAGGAACAGAGGCCCCCAGCCCTCAGCTCTGGCCAAGCAGCCCCTGACAGCCAGCACCAACGTGCCAGCCAGCCAGGTGAGCGTGCCATCGTGAAGGCACATCCTCCAGCCACAGTGAAACCAACCCAGGTGACACCACATGGAACCGAGGTGAGTCTTCCCCACTGAGCCCCACGTAAAGTGCAGATTTAGGAGCAATATATGATTGTTGTTTAAAACCACTAAGTTTGGGGGTGGTTTGTTATACAGCAACAGGTCACTAGAACAATGATGTCTCTGTCTTCAATTTACAAAAGCCCTATATCCATTAGAGCAAAGCCCTCGTTCCGGCTTAAGCTAGTTCACAGGGGTTTATTTGACCTGCAACTAAAGAATGAAAGCTATTGAAGGCGTCTCTTCCCACTTTAAACAGAAGTAGGGGGAAGGACGGAAAATGAAGGCTGTCCTTCTGATCTGCACATGCATTCATGTAAGAGTCCTGAGTCTTTCCCAGCCTTACATGTGTGTATGTGTCGCAGGACCCTTGAGCTTTTTCACCCTCTTAGGGACTGGTTATGGGGCTTTGCACACAGGGAACACTCAACCCCAGAGATGACCACCAGCCACAGAGTGGTAACAACACGGAAGACTGCTTCGACTGAGAACGATGATCCTTCTTGGCACAGGCTGCTCTCCCCAGCTACCATCACAAAACATACATCACATATCATATAACATGTATCACATAACATGCATCATATAACAGACATCACATAACACTGGAGATACACATGCTTCAGCCATTCATCATCTTGTGCAGAAGAGAAAACAGAAACCCAGAGTCTAAGTGACTCCACTGCCTACACCCTCAAAAGTCAGAGTCTGAACCACTGCCAGTACACTTGGGACTCCTAGGTGCCCTGAGATTGAGCTGGGCCACAGGTACTAGGGGTCCACCTAGGGATTTCACCAGAAAAGAGATGAGAAAGGACTGGAAAAAGTTGTGGCCCCTCAGTACGTTTCGCCCTATCAGGATGTACCCATCAGGCTGGGCGTGGTGGCTAACACCTGTAGTCCTAGCACTTTGGGAGGCTGAGGCAGGTGGATTGCTTGAGACCAGGAGTTTGAGGCCAACTTGGGGAAACACAGCAAGACCTTGTCTCTAAAAATAAAATGGTTTTCTTTTAATTTAGCAGGACATGGTGATACATGCCTGTAGTACCAGCTACTCGGGAGGCTGAGGCAGGAAGATTGCTTGAGCCCAGGAGTTTGAGGCTGCAGTGGGCTATGATTGCACCACTGTCCTCCAGCCTGGGCAACAGAGCAAGACCCTGTCTCTAAAAAAAGAGAAGGAAAAAAGATATACCCATCATACATGGTTACCACAAACCTCACGATAACAAAACCTCTATGTCATATAAAGATTTCCAAGCCCTGGCATGAGCCAACATACTGAATTCCAGTGAAATCGATGAATTTCAACAGGGTCTTGGCATATGTGACAATGAGGCTTGAGCCAGTACCATCTCCAGGGCTGAGTAAGTGCTGGCAGCAGACAGTGCAGAACAAAAAGCCCTTGCTATACAGCTCTCCTCACCTGGCTCAGGAGAAAGGACTAAAATGAAGGCCAATATTATGTGCTGCCTCAATGTCTGAAGGGACACCAGGAGGGTTTGAAGGGCCTGACCACAGGTTCCCCTCCCCACACCGCTCCTATGGATAATGTCCCCTAGCCAAACAAAGCTCTTTACCAAGGGGGCCAGGCATGGTCCCTGCTCATCCCCTGGTAGTGGTTTTCAGTCCCCTGCCAACCCATGGAATCACTCACACAAGCCAACCCCGTCCTCCCGTGGGAACCAAGGGCCACCTCACCCTCTTGATACTACAAAGCCCGCTGCTCACCTCCCTGCCTGTTCATTCTGTGTGCGCCTGAGTACCACCCGGTGTGGCCCTGCCCCGTGTGTGGGGTCCTCCCTCTTGGCTGAGAGTATATGTGACTGGTAAACTGTTGCTGGGCTCCTTAGTCCAGTGTCCGGTGTTATGCGACCCTGGGGTGGGAGTGCCCTCCTCACCGACCCCGTGGACAGGTGGCAGTCAAAGCGCTGGCCTTTCGGCAAGGCTCTGGTGTCTCCCGGGCAGCAGGTTGGGTGGTGTTGGGAGCATCAGGGCTCATCTGCTCTGCAGTCCATTCATCCAGGGGGTTTCGGTGCCAGGCACTGGCCTCCAGGGTCATGTGCCCAGTTGCTGAGACCTTGCCCCTCACCTGTTGTGGATGCAACATTGACTCGTGACACACACACACACACACACATCCAATTCCCAATCAGGGGAACGATGGGCTCGACCAACCCACCCTGCTGGAATTACTGTCCTGAGGCCACTGTGGCCATGTGTCTGTGACGTGGGGCTGCAAGGAGGTCCTTGGTGCCACATTTTCTGCATATCCTAATCCTGGGTCTTTTCTCCACTCTGGAAGGCTGGGAACTTTTTTTAAAAGAAGAGAAGGCTGACCATATTACCCAAGAGCAGCCACAGTGAAAGAATTAATGAGTGAGTCTCCTTTGCTTGTCTTGGCCCTAACTTCAGATGTCCTGCAGAAGCAACTGAAGGCTCCCAAAAGCCAACCCTGGAAGATTCGGACTGTGGTTCCAGCTTCAGGCTTCCAGCAAGTCCCCGAACATCTGTAAGCCTAGAGGCCTCACCTGTCAAACAGGGTGGATGATCCCATTTCCCTAGCTGGCTCCCTGCGCTGCTGGGATGCCTACTTGTGCAAGCTGCTCGTGAAGAACAGTTAGGCCATTTGGATGAACACAGAAGTCTGCAATACGGGTTGTAGAAATGGTAAACATATTGCCCAAACATGGGTGCTATTAATAATTAAATGGGACAACAGGAACCGTGCCCAGGCCACCAGGAGCAAGTCATCCTGCTTATGAATGACCTTTGTCTGCCATCTGCCCCCAGGGCCCGTTCAAGCCAAACATCAAAAATTCCACCCAAGGCCGGGCGTGGTGGCTCACGCCTGTAATCCTAGCACTCTGGGAGGCCGAGGCGGGAGGATTGCTCGAAGTCAGGAGTTCGAAACCAGTCTGAGCAAGAGCGAGACCCCGTCTCTACTATAAATAGAAAGAAATTAATTGGCCGACTAATATATATAGAAAAAAAAAGCCGGGCATGGTGGCGCATGCCTGTAGTCCCAGCTACTCGGGAGGCTGAGGCAGGAGGATCACTTGAGCCCAGGAGTTTGAGGTTGCTGTGAGCTAGGCTGACGCCACGGCACTCACTCTGGCCTGCGCAACAAAGTGAGACTCTGTCTCAAAAAAAAAAAAAAAAAATTCCACCCAAACATCTCCTCGTTTCCCAGGCACTCTCCTCGTTTCCCAGGCACGACTGAGGAACCCAGTGTGGAAGCCGGTGCCTCAAGCTGCTACTGACCTGTCCAGGACGTTTCCGCATCAGACTCGCCCAGAAGGCCCGAGCGGAGGAGAAGAGGAAAACCCTGGGCAGGGATGTCTGAAGGGGGAGGCGGAGGAGGGGAGAGGGCAGAGGGAGCGGAAGTAGGAAGCTGCTCTTCCGGACATGGACTTTGCAGTTTGGGGTAAAGAAGAAGGAAGACTTCATCTGAGAGAGACACGCAGGGAGGGCGCCACACCCCCCTTTGTGTGTTCAGGAGCGAACCTGACAATAACCTGTGACGCCCCAGGACAAGCAGACGCCTGAGTGGCTCAGCTGCCGGGCAGAGAGCAAGCCGATGAGGTTTTCCACGTCAGGTGAGTCTCAGGAATTATTTGCCAGGCTTTGCTAGAATGTTCTCCATGCTCATTTACTGTGTTTAGTTTACATGGTGAGGTTCACAAACGAGGTGGCTTAAAACCAACAGAAATGTATTCTCTCACGGTCCTGGAGGCTGGAATCCGAATCAAGGTTGTGGCTAGACCATGCTCCCTCCAAAGGCTCTGAGAGAGACTCCTCCTTGCCTCCTGAAGCTTCCGGAGGCTCCGGCTGTCCTTGGCATTCCTTGGTTTGCGCCTGTATAGCTCCCATCTCTGACTTCCCGTAGCCTTCTTCCTGCTGTGTCTGTGTGTTCTCTTCTAGTCTTAAAAGGACTACAGTCACTGGATTTAGTGCCCACCCTAAGCCAGTATGGCTTCAACTACTTACACCTGCAGAGACTCTCTTTCCAAATAAGGTCACCTTCTGGGGTCCCAGGGGGACATGAATTTGGGGGCGACAGCCCTCAGCTCACTATACGTTGCATTAATTCTTATTGTCAATCAACGACCCAGTGGGTCACCCTGTCCCAACTCCAGCGAGGCAGAAGGCAGTGCCATGCAGGCAGGGTCTGTTGCTTCCAGTTTCTCCAGAATATTCTCCCCTCTACACATCTTTTTTTGAACTCTCCATCTTCCCTCTTCACAACTGCCCCTTCTCCTACACCCCCTGTGTTGGCCAATAGAGCAACCACGTGTTTGGGAATCGTCCATGCCTAAAACTTGAGGGCCAGTCTAACAGCTCCGGCCCTCCTCCCCTCCACTGCCAACCCCAAACGTCACACAGTCCCCTGCATGTTCCTTCTCATGTCTGTGACTTCCTCTCCCCTCTCTCTCTCATTTCTGCCTTACGTCCCCAGCATTGTTCACCTGGACACTAGCAAAATTCCCTGTCCCCGTTCCCCCCTGCACTGAAATGATCTAAAACGCCAGACGGGACGGGGCACTCCCCAAGCCCCTTTGGGAAGCGAAAGTAAGAGCCGCTCAGCTTCAGAAAAATGCCTGTGAGCACATGTCCCACGATTTCATGCAGAATTTCAAGGAGTCCACAAGTTCCCACGGCCCCCGTAGGGCGGGGCTTCTCAAATCTTAAATCACCCAGAGATCTCGTTAAAATGTGTTTCTGTTTCAGTGGGCCTGGGGTGGCCTGAGACCCTGCATGACCCCCAGGTCCTCGGTGAGGCGGGTGCTGCCCGTCCTGACCACACTGTGAGCGGCAGGGGCGTGGACACACTCAGGCCTCCTCCATCACAGTGGTCGCACCGGTTATTATGTCATCTTATTTTATCTCCCTACTGACCCTGCAAGGTCGGCATTATTAGTCCCATTTCATAGGTAAAAAAATACTTGTGGTTTAGCCAGTGTAAGTAATCTGCCCAAGGTCGTTCCACTAGAAAGCAACAGAGCCAAGGTCTAAACCCAGATCTCTCTCTCTAAATTTCTTGCTCTTAACCAGATATTAAAATGTCCCATAAGCCCTTCCCATTCCTCTTGTCAGCAGGGCAGATGGGACTGTCCCCTCCTTGGTTACCCTTACCAAGAACCTATTCCAAAGCATCTTTAATATTTCAATCACGATTATTTGATCACATCTTTGGCGTCTTTGTGTTCCCAGAACTTAGGCAACGCCTGGAACATAGCAGGTGCTCAACGAATGTTCGAGTGACTGAGTTTCTCTCGCACCCCACTGCCTGGGCCCCCACCTCGCAGTCTGAGATTGACTTCACTTTCCTTTCAAGTCAGCAGGAGCCCCCTGGAGAGAAGCCTGCAGAGGAGCCAGGCCCACCGCTAAGGCAGCAGGTGGCCCAGCCCGACTCCCCAGGGGGCCTCACCCTCCAGGAGAGGCGGGTACGAGGCCCTCCCGCCCCAGCCCGCGCCTGCTGAAGGGCTTCGTGTCTCCAAGCCGAGGCCTGGGCTCCTGCTCCTTGCCAGCCATTCACAGGGGAGAAATGATTAAAAAGCTGGAGAGACTGACTCATGAGGAAATATGAAAAAAGCACAACAGTCCCCAAATACGTTTAGCTTGGCTCCGACACAAAGGGGGGACGCGATAAGGGCTCCCAGTTCGAGCGCGGCAACGTGGAGGCGGGAGAATTGTGTGGAGCGGGCTGGCTGGAAGGGACCCCATGGAAAACTGGAAAGGAGACGGAGGGAAACAAGACGGGGTGTCTGAGCTGTAGAAAGGGGGGTTTCTGGAGCTCAGAGGCAGCTTTCCACAGATAGGGAGGCCCGAGTGAGGGACCACTGCCAGGAACTTTAAGCACTGCCCTGCCACACTGGCTGCTCCTGGCTTTGGCACTGGGGGCCTGAGAGTTCGTCCCCTCAGCAAACATTTCTGTGCCCACCCCGTGCCAAGCTTGGGACCAGGCTCAAGGGTTGCTGAGTGAAGAAAGCAAAGTCCCAACCCTCAGGCAGCTTAGATTCCATCAGGAGGAAGCTGTCACTGAGGCCTCTGCCTTGGCTGTGCCTTCTGCCTAGAATATTCTTCCGCCAGGTAACCCTAAAGCCACCTCTCTGGCCTACTCTGCGAGGCCTACCTTATTTATGTGGCACCTGTCTTAGTCCATTCCAGCTGCTGTGATACCAAAATACCATAGGTTGGGTCATTCATTAACAATTGGTCGCAGTTCTGAAGGCTGGAAAGACCAAGGTCAAGGCGCCGGCAGACTCCACGCTTGCTTTCTGCTTCAAAGATGGCGCCTTGTAGCTGCATCTGCGCACGGCGGAAGGGGCCGGGGAGCTCACTCCAGCCTCTTTTAGAAGGCGCGAATCCCACTCATGAGAGGGGGGACACTCATGATTTAATCACTTCCCAAAGACCCCAACTCTTAACACTATTACATGGGGAATTGCCTTCTAACATACGGCTTGAGGGGTGCTGGAGGGGGACACCGACCTTCAGACCACAGCAGTAGCCTGATGGCTGACCACCCTATTTAATATGGGGCTCTCACACGAAGCCCCCCAGCCACAGTCCCACTCCTCCACACTGTTCCACTTGTTCTGTTTCCTGGAGTGTTTAGCACCTTGCAACACTATATAATTACTCTTATTTTGTCAGTTGTTCATGATCTGTCTTTTCCCGCTGGAAAGGCCTGCTGGGCCTTAGCTCATTGCCATAGAGATGGCCTAAGGAACAGGCACAGTGACGCTGTCTCGGGCCTCGTCCCCTCCTCCCTCTCTCCCCGTTACCTGCAGCCCAGCAACGGCAGAGCTGGCAAGACACCAGGACAGACCCTCATCAGATGCTGGGACCGTCCCTCGGTGTTGGGTCTCCACCAGAGCTCCCGTGCGAGAATCGAGACACCTCTTCACATTTCTTCCCTCCTCGCTCACCCCCCTGGGGACTTCTCCTCCAGCTTTCTGCGAGCCGGGCCGAGCTCCCCACAACTGTGAAGCGATAACACATATGATCAGGTTGATGAGGATGGGGGTGACTGTGCAGGAACTCCCCGCCACGTGACACATGACCGACTGTTGATTTATTATGGGAAAGACATAAATACTGGGCTCTCCCCTAAGCAGGAACACATGTTCTTAGTCATATGGTAGCTGCTGAAAACACCCCTTTGTGGTTGCTCACCCTCAACTGAGACGGAAGGGAGGCGGAGAGGCCCAAGCTCCACCCAGGAATGGATGGTAGAGAAGAAGGGGTCCTTTCTCTTAGCCCACCAAGCTGACAACCAATCAGACAAGCACAGGTAACAGCAGGCCTAGCACAGGAGTGAAGCGTGAGCTGTCAGCTCAAAAACCCAGGATGCTGAAATCCTAACTGTCACTCAGTAGCCGCGTGACCATTGTTATATATAATACATTGCTCAACAATCCCAAACCTCCATGTTCTCATCTGAAAATGGATTAGTAATGGTATCTTCCTTACCTGATTGTTGTGAAGATCAAGAATGAATGCCAACTGCTTAGCACAGAGTAAGCCCTTCATAAGTGTTGGCCATGATTGTTATTATGGAGCACCGTTTAGTGTTGGCATCAGTGAAGGAAAGAACTAGAGTCTCTACTCTCCATGGACAGTATGGGTGGAAAGATGAGCCTCTCCCCCACCAGGAACTTAGAGGGAAGCTCCACCATGGGGTCATGGTGTCACCACATTCTGCCTTTGACTTTGAGTCAGGCAGCTGCCACCTCCAGCCCGAGAAACACATCGCTCCCCCTCCCCGCTGCTTCATGCATCCTCTCGTCCATCTCTTATTAATACGACATAAGAGACATCCAGACAGCTTATAAATACCACCTGAGCAAAGCTCACCCCCATCATACATGGTGGTAAACTGAGGCAGGGCCACACAGACATTTGTCAGCAGAGCCAGCCCTGAAATAAGAACCTCCCAGATGCCTGGCTCCAGCCTCACCCAGTAATCTCTGCCCCCCCCCAAATGCAAGTGATTTGCTGTTCATATTCCCTGGTGCCCGGCAACCCAACAATTTCGTGCTTGTCATTGGGATGCTGGAGAAATCGGGGCTTATTGGGGATAAGCGAGACAGAAGCTCACTGGGTAAGAACCGTTGCTGTCTGGCCAGAGAGACAGGGAAGTGGGAATTCTAGAGAACCCAAGAAGTTTAAAGCAAGAATGAAACATTTATATCTTGTTAAATGCTCAGTTTTACTGTCCAGGCAAGGAGTTTTGAAGCCCCAAGGGGTTTCCCGAGGGAGGTGGGGGCAGTGAGGGGCGACAGGAGGGTGCATGAGGGAGGAGGCCCTGGTGGGGTGGGGGCTGCAGGCACCCTCGTCCCTGACCCTGACTTTAATCCCAGCAGCTTTGCCGTTATCAGTTTTATTTGTGTATATTTCTGGTATGATTTCCTTTGAACAAAGGGATCCGTGACTGCAAAAATGTTTGAAAGCCCCTTACTGTTTTTACGACAAGATCAAGGCGAGGAGAAATCAGGAAAGGCTGGAAAACACAGGCTTCCAGGAGAGGTGGTTAGAATTTGGACAGGGAGAGGGGCTCTGGGTGAGGCCAATAATAGGAACGGAGTGAGGGAGAGCTGGACGCCCACGGGACAGCCTGGAGCCTTCTTGGAAAAGAGCAAGAATCGTGTTGACCAACAGTGAGAAATGGGAAGGGTCAGGCCTGAGAGGGGAGGGGAGAGAAGAGTTTAGGGGGTGGATCTTCACTTGATTCTCCTGAAGGGGCCCCAATCTCTCATTTATGAGGTCCCCAGGGCAGCAAGCCCAGGCTTTAAGGTCTATGGCAGCAATTACCAGAACCTGGTTCTAGAACATCCCAGGCATCTTGCAACACCTTCATGAAGTCCACAATGCATGGCATAACCTGAGAAGTACCAGCAGAATCTGGTGCTCAGAATATCTTCTCTACCCTCTTGTGTCTGACCACCTTGCTTTAAAATTCCCTCCCTAATTTTCCAGAGGCATTTACTGTTAAAATATAAACATCCAGCCCCAGAATCCTACTGTTGGGCATCTACCCCAGAGAAATGAAACTTATGGGTGGTGAACACCCAAAAACCTGTACATGACTGTTTATGGCAGCTTTATCCATAACAGCCAAAAACCAAACACAACAGAGATGCCTGTCAGCAGGATAATGGTGAAACAGACTGTGGTATGTCCATGCCGTGGAATACTACTCAGTGATAAAAAAGAACGAGCTACAGACACACGATGACCTGGATGGATCTCAAGGGAAGTGTGCTGAGTAAAAAACCCCAATCTCATAAGGTTACAATACTGTTTGAATCTGTCTATGTTACATTCTTGGTATAAAAAAATAGAGATGAAGAGCAGATTAGTAATTGCCGGGAGTCAGGGATGGGGAAAGGGTGAGTGTGGTTAACGGGGTAACATCAGAGTCTCGTGGCAATGGAAAGTTCTAGATCTTGACTGTCCTGGCAGCTATACAAATACACACGTGATAAAATTGCATAGAACTATACCCACAGATGAGTGTGTATAACACTGATGAAATCTGAACAAGCTCTATGTGTTATGCCAATGTCAATTTCTTGGTTTTGATGTTATACGATAGTTATGCAAGATGTTGTCACTGCAGAAAACTGAGTGACAGACATATGGGACATCCGGTAGATTATTTTTTAAACTTCCTCTGGATCTTTAATTAGTTCAAAACAAAAAGTTAAAACATGAGAAGCTATGGAGGAAACTTAAATGCATTTTACTAGATGAAAGAAGCCAATCTAAAAGAGGCTGTATCCCATATGATCCCAACTGCATGACATTCTGGAAAAGGCAAAACTATAGAGACAGTAAAAAGAACAGTGGCTGCCAGGGGTTGGAGGGAGAGAGGGGTGAATAGGTGGAGCACAGGAGATTCTTAGGGCAGCGAAAATACTCCGTGTGATACTATAACGGATACATGTCATCGTACATTTGTCCAAACCCATAAAACGTGCGACGCCAAGAGTGAACCCCAATGTAAAATATTGGCTTTGGGTCACAATGACGTGACAATGTAGGCTCATAGACTGTAGCAAATGCACCACCATGGTGGGGATGTCCATGATGGGGGAGGCTGTGCGTGGGGGGGAGGGGTATATGGGATGTCTCTGTACCTTCCTCTCAATTTGTTTGTGAGCCTAAAACTGCTCTTAAGAAGTTAAGTCTTTGAATAAAGTTAAAACAAACAAAAGACCCTTAACATCCCTGGGAGGGGTAACACCTGTGCTTCAACATCAAGAGTTTTGTAAAGCAGTCAAATCTTTGGCAGATAGCAGACGTGATGGCTGGCAAGTGGGGTTTGGGGGCCCCAGAAACTCAATCAGCATCACAAGCCTGTGGGATGTTTGCTCTGGCAACAAATCAAGTGGAATATTACGAAATTAAAGCAAAACACCACCATAACCACAGGATGTACCATTTATGCTACTTTTGAGCACCAGACAAAAGAATGGTCTGATGATATGCCAGAGGAGATTGTCAGCATTTCTCCTTAACTTCACACTCAGTGAGTCATGTTGTAGCTTAAAGCCAGCCAGAGTGGGAGTATTTACACCATGGAAATTGGCAAATGCTACGAATCAGAGTTTTGTGTTTTTTTTTTTTTTTAATTCAGAAAGCCAGTTTTTAAATATTCACTATCACACCACTAAGGATGTCTGACCAGAATTGTCAGGCCCTACAGAGAGGCCCTAAGGCAGGGTGCCCCAGGAGTGGATAATGCGATAGGCTGAGTAGTGTCCCTCCAAATCCATGCACATCCTAATCCTCGGAACCTGTGAATGTTGCCCCATACGGCAAAGTGGACTTTGAAGAAGTGATTAAATGAATCTGGAGATGGAGCGATTTGCCTGGATTATCTTGGTGAGCTTGACGTCATCACGAGGATCCTTATGAGGGACACTGGAAGAGCCAGGAGAGACGGCCATGTGATGATAGAAGGTGACTGGAGTGATGTGCTTTGACAATGGAAAAAGACCCCACAGGCCAAGGGATGCAGGAGGGTCTATAAACTGACACAGGCAAGGAAACGGATTTTCCCGTCCATTTCCAGAAGGAATAGCCCTTGGCGTTAGCACGATCAACCAATTTCAGATTTCTGACCTCTAAAACTGTAAGAGAATACATCTGTGTTGTTTTAAGCCACGGAATTTGTGGTGATTTGTTACAATAATAGGAAACCAATGCAGTTAGAAATGTGGTTAACCCATACCAGGTCTCCCCAGTCAGCTCTTCTGTGATTGTCTTGGCTCTGCCCTCTTAGTCACAAACTAGTTGCTGTAGCTCCAACCATCACATCCATACATAACAACATCCAAAGGTAAGAGGTTGAATCCCTCCCTCATAACCTTTGTTAAGGGAGAGCAAAACCTTCGCAGAAGCCCCCAGCAAACTTTACACATGTTCATGTCTAAAGCCATCACTGGGAAAGGAAATAGAATTACGGGTCTGGCTCAACCTGATCAATATTCATCCTTGCGGCTGAAAGGGGCTCATGAACCAAGCAGGTGCTCAATATTTAAATAGAATTGGATCTCAAGGAAGAAGATCGAGAGACGGCAATACAGAGCTCAGTGACCCCTGGAGGTCGTGGCCCTCTCGGGTATGTGGCCAGTCTTCCCAAGATAACAGCTTCCATGCAGCTGGTGCACCGAGTGTGGGCTCACTTTGGGAGAAGGAGTCACATTTATCTAGTGTCCACTATGTGCCTGGTGCATCCTTTTTCACATTGAATCTTTACCATATTCCAGAAGCTCAGAAAGGTGTAGTCATTTGCCCAGGCAAACGCAGGTGGGATTGGAACTCAGATCTTTCCAGCTATGAAACTTGCACAGGCTTTCCATCGACCACCAGCTTCCCAGACAGGCACAAGCTTCCCTGCATCTTGGTCCCCCAACTCCCCGCCCCCTCCCCACATTCCTATCTCCTTCCTGTTGCTCTCCGTCTCCAACAGGGGCTGGCTGAAATCAAGACTTCATCTTCGCCAGACTTTCATGCTTACTCGAGAATTTCAGCATGTTGGATCTGTGATGAACCATCAGCTTCAAATGCCTTCCTGGGCAATGGCTCCTCGTGGGCCTTATAGACCCAAGCATAGGAGCTCCCTACCCTTCCCCATCACACCCCACTAATTGCCTCCTCTTAGCTGCCACCAGCCAATCAAAAATAGAAGGATGCCCTTCTCATGTCCCTTTGTCATGAGGTTGCTGGAGTCTCCCCCCTACTACCCTGCTTGGTCACCTGTCAGCTGTGTGAGCCTTGGTCAGGTGACTGAACCTCAGGTCCCCATGTACAAAATGGGGTGATGGTGTTGTCGTGTGAATCATATGAGATAACTGATGATCGCTCATGCTCATAGCAAAGTGCCTGGCCCTCAAGGAATTCTCAATAAACATTAGGTATTTGTCACTAGAAGACTTTGGGAAACCAAGCCTGGCTTTGTGGGTGATTACAGGTTATCATGGAAACCAGACCTAAAGGCCTGAGCAGAGGCAGGGTTAGTGCGCCCAGGGCACCCAGGCCTGATTCACTTTAGGATCTACTTTCTTAGGTCCTTAGCCCACCTTACGGTTCACACAGGCGTGAAGGAACGTCTGGATTTGTTGTCCCCAGCCCCCAGGAAGGGAGCATGTGCAGCTCCGTGCAGGAGCGAGCCCTGGGCACACACTCACTGAGTGAAGGAATTGCTGAGAACCCTGCTCTGAGCCTCCCTTAGACGGGATGATTAATGAGCTTAACGTAATGCATCTCATTGTGGTCTACAGGGATGTGACAACCTGTCAGGTGAATCTGCTGCTCTCGCTCCAGCCAGGTTGGTGCTTTGCAGGGATTGCGTGCCTAGGGGACTCACACTGGGGTTTATGGAGGGTTTGTACCACCAACAGGTGCTTTGCATTGGGTGCTTTGATACCTAGTACCAGCCAGCAGGTTCCCACGTTGAGCCACTGCTGATACTTATGTTCTTAAGCATTTAACTGATGGCTGCTGTCTCCCTGCTGATGGATGGGGTACCTGCCCCATCAGTAGTTAGCAGGAGACACTGGACTGGGACCATCATAACTACCACTTTTTAGCTATATGAACTTCCACTGACCACTTAAGCCTCTGAGCCTCAGTTTCCCTCTCTGAAAAATAGGTATGGTGCTGCCCCAGGCTGCCCTGACTGCTGCTGCTTTGCTGGAACAAGATAAAAGATGTAGAAATGGAAGAGTTTGGGGAACAGTCAGGCTCTGCCTCAAACCATCATTACCAGCTGGTCTTCTGGTCCACACAACCTATTGTGAACACACAGTAAGTGCATTCCTGAGAATGAAGGGGCAGGGTGGGGAAGAATGCACTCTCCAGAGAGAATAGTTATAAAGTCAACAGAAGCCTCGATACAAATCTAAGCTGTTCGATCTATTCATCACATGATGCCAGCAATTGCTTAATGTCTCCAGACCTCAGTTTCCTGATGTGCAAAATAAAAGGACTCTGGTGGATGATTTACTTCTTGGCTCCAACTTTCTGTAACTACTGATCAGCACTAGATTTGAGAGACACAAACCATGACATCCACGATCCCACCACAGTGTGTTTGAGCACCACTGAATTATCCCAGCAAACACACACTGGACGTTCGGTATGTTTCATCTCATACTTCCCCACGACAGCCTATTTTACAGGTAAGACAAGAGAGGCTCAGGGAAGTTAAATTCCCAAGGCCACCCAGCTAACAAAAGACTGGACCAGGACTTGAACTTGGGCCCGCTTGCCTGAATGCCTAAGTGTCTTCCATTTTTGCCAAGTATCATAGAGATTTTCCAGATTTGCAATGGGATATTTTAACGTTGTTTTGTAGGGAAACCAGATATATTTTTCAAAACCCTGCAAGACTCTTTAGAAGGTCAAGGTCATTTAGCTGGGTGAATAGTTAATCTCCCCAGCACAAAACACTCTGTATAAACTGCACCCAGAATTCAGCCCTTTCAAGATGGGGGAGGAGGGGCCTTGGGGAAGGCAGAACGCCCAGCGGCACCTGCCAGATCTGGGGAAGATGGGAGAGGTTGAAGAAGAAAGAGTAGGAAAAAGCTTTCTTCCCCCCTCGAGTTAGAAAGCAGGCAGAGAGGGAGAGAGATCAAAAACCACTAAAGGTCCCTCATGTCAACCTCTCCCTGTTTTAATTAAGCAGAGAGTCCGCACCCCCACCCCCACTCCCGCAAAAATGCTTTGCACTCAGCAAGAGCCGCTGCGCGGCAGGTTGCAGTTAAGCCTTCAAACAACCAGCAGCCTCAGGAAATGCCAGCAGCCCACAGGTGCGGGTGCGGCAGGGCCCCTCCCGTTCTCTGCACCCAGGCAGAGCAGTCATGAGATGGACCCAGTAGCTTCGAGAACATTCTTCGGACCCTTCTCCACCGGGCCTCGACCCCCAGCAGTGTGCCTCCAGCTGGGACAGCCCCCGGTAGGAAACGCATCTTCCGAGGGGACCAGGACTGCCCCTGCACACATCTGTACACATAAAAATAAGCAAATCTCACAAAACAATTCTTATTGCTACAACATGCAATGCATTCGTATTTTCTACTCGATTTTTTTTTTTATGCTGGTTGCAGCCTTCTATGTTAGTTTCAGGACTCACCGATGGGTTCCTCCAAATCAGGGAGAGCCTGAGCTGCTCTCCCACCTCGGCTCCTCAACGCTGCTCCGCCCAGGTCCCCACTCCAACAGATGCCTCGTGGCCCTTGAATGTCTCCGGCTCCCCCCAGCCTGCGTGCTCATCCGCTCCCCCCACTCTTGCTGCAGGTGTGATCGCTTCCACGAAGTCTTCTCTGGATGTGCAGCCATCGGCGTTTGCAAGCGCCCCTGTCCCCCACTGGTCACCTAGCTGTGGTCATATCCCATGGGGACCAGGCAGGGAGCCCTCCACGGCCTATTTGTCCCCTGTGGCCAGTGTCCCACTAATCAAAGGTTTTCCACAAACCTTTCTGAACGGAAGAGAGAGGGTGGAGAGGAAGTGCAGAAGGAGGGAGGACCGGGACCTCTTCCAGGGCCAGACCCAGTTCCCCAGGACTAAACGCAACTGTGTGTGGAGGACCCTCCCTGCTTGGCAGGAGGAAGACAATGGCTGTCAGACCCAACACTGCCTGCAAACACCTGCCTTCCAGGTGGGGGGTGTGATTGCTCTCAGAGGTGGGCTGTTGAAGAAAACATATACAGTTGCCTTGATGGGCCTTCTCGGAAGAGAAAAGCAAGGCCCACTGGACGTAATCCAGAAAGGCAGGAGTGGGGGGGAGGCGGTGGTTAGCAGTAGGCTGCAGGGAAAGCAGCAGGCAGGGTGTGCCCCAGGCGAGAAAGGTGAACCCCAAAAGGTTGAGGAGGGTGCTGGGTGTGAAATGGGGCTTCACCTATTGCACCAAGCCCATCAAGAAAGGCAGGGCAGGCTCCGAGCCCCCTGGCCAGGTTTGATTCTGGGACCCTGGACTGGTTACTGAACCCCTCTGTGTTTCCGCTTCCTGGCTGTCACATAGTAGGACCTGTCAGATATCCTGGAAAATAATAATGGGACCTGTCTCTTTCGGTCTTGTGAAGACCCAAAGGGCTAACACAAACAAAGCGCTTAGAACGTGGCCTGATACAGCAGGTGTCCAATTCATTTTATTTAATCATCACATCAACTCTTCAAAGTGAATAACATCCCCATTTTGTAGATGAGGAAACTGAGGCTCAGAGGCCTCCAGGAGAATCTGGCCTCACAGAATCAGCTGCACAAAGAATGTGAGTTGAGCACCTGCCCCGTGAAAGGCACTGGGCCTTTGGAGGAGGCCGATGGTCGGCTCTGCCCTGAGGAGTCCACATTTCCAGTCGGGCAGGTGAATGCGGGCCCCAGCACAGGCTTTCCGTCTCCCCAGGGTGGAGCCATCCAGGGGGAAAGGAGGTGGGCGAGGAAGCGATCTAGGCTGCTCAGAGAAACTCTGTGCTGGAGGAAGCAGGCCATAGGAGTTCTAATCAGGGTTTAGGTGGGGAGAGAAAACTACCCGCAGCTCAGGGGCAGGTAGCTGTTGCGTGGTATCTGCGCCCTCCACCCTCAGGCCCTGCACCAGCTGGTACCGATCACAGCAAACAGTGCTCGCATCAGAGTGTGCTCATCAGGGGCCTCAGGTGTAGACGCCGGATGTCCAAATGAGGAAACTCACCGTCCCACCCTGCCAGGGAGGGAAGGAGCTGTCCCTTCTTCATTGCTAGGGGTAAGCGTGTAAAACAGACACAGTTAGAAGCCAGTGGCCCTCACCCTCGGTGGCATGAGAGTCCCTGGGGAGTCCCACCCCGCACCATCAAGTCCGAATCCCTAGGGGAGGGGGCCCAGGCGTCAGCAGGTTTCAAAGCTTCCCAGGGTGGCTGGGCTGGTAATCGTCAAAGGCAAGCTTGAAGCCGTTTCTTCATTCCCAAACCAAAAGAAAGAAAGAAAGAAAATGGAAGTGGCCAGAGCCTCTCTCCAGGCGAGGAACAGAAAGCAGAAAAGAGCTGGCTTCTTTTTGTGATCTTGGTCCAAACTTCTTTTTCTCCCGCTGAAGGATTCTCCCAGCAACCTCCAAGCAACCAGCCAAGAGACGGGCTTGCCCTGAATTTTTGGTCCTCAGCTATAGAACAAAGAACTCTTTGAGGTTTAACAAGAGGCTGCTCAGCTCTCTGGCCCCTGGGCCCCTAAGATCGCGCCCGGAGCCGCGGCTGCCGCACCTACCGCGGAGGGGGCCTGGAGCAGGGCTGCGGGCGGCGCTCCCCGGCCGCCACCGCTGCCACCCTGGTTCCCAGCGAGCCGCGAGATGCGCAGGGGAAAGCCAGCAGCGCCCCTCGGGCCCCCGCTGCGTCGGATCAGCGGCCAGGGGACCACAGCCCCCACCCGGCCCCCGCTGCAGGAAGCCCGCCTACACGGGGGACCCCCGCTTTGTCGGTGCCAGGGCGTCCCGGCCGCCTGCCCCCAAACCCGCCCCCGGGAGTGCTCCTCCAGGCCGGCAGACACTCGGCCTACCGAAGTGGCCTGAGCCCAGGGTGGGGGAGGAAGGGAGAGCGCTGGGGAGGCCCCGGGCGGGGCGGGCAGGGGGACCTGCGCCGCCTCTCGGACGCCCCTCCGCGCAGGGCGAGGGCGCGGTCAGGAAAGCCGCCTCCCCGCCTCGGCGCAGGGAACGCCGCCGCGACTTCCCGCCCGCAGTGTAAGGGGACTCGGGACTCGCAGCTGGGTCCCCTGCGTCTGCCTTCAGGGGTGCATTCTCTCCGGGGTCAGCCTGCTGGACCCACCTCTTCTCACGTCCTCCTCCTGCCTGTGCTTCCGCCGGGCCGTGTCTGTCTGGCTTCCCAGGCCCAAGTCTCATGGACATTCCACTCCTGCCCAAGGTCCCAGAGGCCTTAGACACTGGGGCCACCGTCCCACTGTGGCTGTAGTGAGGTTGTAGTCAGGTTGTAGTGTGGCTGTAGTGTGGCTGTGGTGTGGTTGTGGTGTGGTTGTGTATTGTAATGTGGCTGTAGTGAGGTTGTAGTGTGGCTATAGTGTGGTAGTGTGGCTGTAGTGTGGCTGTGGTGTGATAGTATGGCTGTAGTGTGGCTGTAGTGTGGTAGTGTGGTTGTAGTGTGGTTGTGTGTTGTAGTGTGGCTGTAGTGTGGCTGTAGTGAGGTTGTAGTGTGGCTGTAGTGTGGTAGTGTGGCTGTAGTGTGGCTGTGGTGTGGTAGTGTGGCTGTAGTGTGGTTATAGTGTGGTTGTGTATTGTAATGTGGCTGTAGTGAGGTTGTAGTGTGGCTGTAGTGAGGTTGTAGTGTGGCTGTAGTGAGGTTGTAGTGTGGCTGTAGTGTGGTAGTGTGGCTGTGGTGTGGCTGTGGTGTGATAGTATGGCTGTAGTGTGGCTGTAGTGTAGTTGTAGTGTGGCTGTAATGCGGCTATAGTGTGGTTGTAGTGTGGCTATAGTGTGGCTGTAATGCGGCTGTAGTGTGGTTGTAGTGTGGCTATAGTGTGGCTATAATGTGGCTGTAGTGTGGCTATAATGTGGCTGTAGTGAGGCTGTAGTGTGGCTATAGTGTGGCTATAGTGTGGCTATAATGTGGCTGTAGTGTGGTTGTAGTGTGGCTGTAATGCGGCTATAGTGTGGCTGTAGTGAGGCTGTAGTGAGGCTGTAGTGAGGCTGTAGTGTGGCTATAGTGTGGCTGTAGTGTGGCTGTAGTGAGGCTGTAGTGAGGCTGTAGTGTGGCTGTAGTGAGGCTGTAGTGTGGCTGTAGTGAGGCTGTAGTGAGGCTGTAGTGTGGCTGTAGTGTGGCTGTAGTGTGGCTGTAGTGAGGTTTTCCTGTGGTTCAGGGTTAAAGGAAGTTACATCTATACGAAAGTCTGACTCACGGTGTTCAAGCATGTTGGCTCTCTTTTCCCCACCCCTGCCCCCCTCTCCAGAGTGTATGGTGTGGGTGCAGCTGGGGCCCGGCTCTGTGGTTCAGCAGCGACTGGGG